TGCAGCTAGAGCCCATCATCATCCTCATCTCGTAAGTAGGCAATCTAGTATATTATTCGTGGCACTAATCTCTCTCTCACTAATCTAATTTACCTCACATTAAAGAAACACTATAGTCCCCAGAACCACTGCAGCTTAATGTAGTTGTTCTGGTGTCTATAGCCTGTCCCTGCATGCCTTATAATGTAAACACAGCGGCACTGCAGCACTGGCGTTAGTTAACATGGCAGATCATATGGGTGGAGCATTGTGATGTCACATGGGGGGGGAGGCGGCAAACTTTACTTTTGCCTAGGGCGGCAAAAATCCTTGCACCGGCCCTGATCGCTGTGATATGTTTTACTGTTTTGAAACACTAATATTTGTGTTCAGCTAAGTCTCCCGAGTAAAACAGTAACCCCCCCCATGTACAGGTTTTAGGGTGTCATGGAATGTTACAGGGTTAAATACAGTGCTAGAAAATTAAATTCTCTGGTTTGTCAAGCAGGTCCCTCAAATTGCAAACAATAAATGAACTTAATTATGTAAAAATGTTACATAAATATATGTGTCTGTATAAATATATATATATATTTTTGTGTGTGTTCAGGGCATAGAAAGCCGTAATAACAGTATATAACTTATACCATATAACAAAATAGAAAATATGAATAGTCAGTTGTGGTGTGCCGAAACCGACGATGCAGTAGGCCTGTAATAAAAGATGGCCCACCCTGAGTATTATTGTTAGTAAAGGGAGCGGTGGGAGGGGTAAATCGCCAGACCAACAACTGTAATGAGGAGGGGTCTGGTGATCCTTCAGTAGGGAAATCATGCCCCGCCCAAAACTACAGGCCCAGCCTTCCATTTGTGTTCAGGGCATAGAAAGCCATAATGACAGTAAATAAGTTGCATAACTTATACCATATAACAAAATAAAAAATATGAACAGTTGGTTGTGGTGTGCCGAAACCGATGATGGGGTAGGCCTGTAATAAAAGAGGGCAAAAAGAGTATGCCATACAAGATTTATTTCAGCCTACAATGTGACAATCATATAGCATATATCACATGTTCATGTTACAAAAAGCTTCACGTATTTCCTGTATTGGTTGGGGTATGTATCTGGTATATGCTGATGAATTCCACAGTCCCAATGTCTTGATAATATGTACCAGTATGTTTCTCCTGGAGGTGGCTGCTCCAATGCGGAACGAGTGTCCTGAGTAGTGGGATTGATTAAGGCCTAACCTTGCCAATAATACTCTAATATAGAGCATGAATTTACTAGTGGTGAGAGCATTGCCATGTAAGGTAAACAAAAGTTGGTCAGGGGAACAATGGTTAGGAATTTATCTAGTACTTTTAGGGTGATAGGGGATCTTTACCAGTTGAATTTTTTGGTGTGATTTTAGTGTTGTTGAGGGATAGTATGTATTGATTTTGTATTTTACAATCTGGGATCTCTTAATGACGTCTTTGGATGTGATGTTTGTAGTGGTAAACTCTCCGGGTCTGAGAAACCCATAGAAAGCTAAGTAGATGGTGGTTTTAATGACATTATTAGTGTGTGATTCGAAAGGTGTTGTATCCATGAGGTCCAATAATGATTGGAAGAGCTGACTATGAATAGGTGATCTAGAAGATGGTGATGTGGGGTTTGAATTCTTAATGCCTTTTAGTATGGTTTTGATTTGATAAGATGATAGGAAACTGTGGTTGTTTGGCCAATGTGTAAGTATATGGTGTTGAATTCCTGTCAGATATAATTTGATGGTGTTGTAAGAGAATTTTAATTTAAGGTGGCAAAAAGAAGTGAAAGCTACAATAGTTTCCATTGAATATTTATTTACAACCTGAACAGGGCCGATGCAAAGATCTTAGACTGTACAGGCAAAAATGCATTTTGCCACCCCCCTACGCAAACTACACACATAGGTACTGATAGACATGCGTTGCCACCTCACCTGCTGCCAGAGGGTCCTGCAAGAAAATTCTGGTTAATGCAACTGAGCTACGCCTGTCTGACTGTGCATTTTCTAGCTCATTGGCTAACAGCACTTACCTGAAGCTCTTAACTAATGGGCAAGGCTCTACATGGTGGGGCTTAGCACTGTGGCAGGAGTTTCTGGCAACAGCCTCCTGACAATTACCCCTGTTGTTGGCAACATTTCATTCTTTGTGTGTTATTAGTTTAAGAAGACTGTGATTGTCTATTGTTGTGACTTAGATGATGATCAGATCACATTTTATGACCAATTTGTGCAGAAATCCATATCATTCCAAAGGGTTCACATACTTTTTCTTGCAACTGTATGTATATATTAATAAAAAATACACTTAGTATGATGTTACATATAAAGAATCCAATATGCTTGCACTCCTGGTAGAAACTGTAGTTATTGCCCGGTGCTGATCCAGCAAAATTAGTAAAAATCCAAAAATAACGGAGAGCACTCCAGGGTCTTTATAGCGTAGTTAAAATGTAACTTTTAATTCATCAAAAAATGATAAAATGACATCATTTTATCATTTTTTGATGAATTAAAAATTACATTTTAACTACACTATAAGGACCCTGGAGTGCTCTCCGTTTATTTATATATATATATATATATATATATATATATATATATATATATATATATATATATATACATACACACACACACACATTTTTTTTTATTATTATTATTATTAACATTTTTAGTTTACTTTTTCACCAGCAGGGGGACTGCCTGTGACCGCTCTTTCAGACAGTCCCCCCAGACGGAGAGGAACACTAATCGCCAGTGGTGGAATGGCGGCAATCGGGTAAGTAAGTAGGAATACTATGTACTAGGTACGTCCGAGGTCCTTAAGGACTATTTTTGTCAGACGTACCTAGTACGTCCGCGGTCAGGAAGGGGTTAAACAGTTCCCTAGTGAATAAATCTACATTACTTAGCACCTAACAATTTCTTACAGTGGATGATTGCAGCATGAGTTTTGAAGAAAGGCTGCACATTAATGAATCCTAAAAAGATACTCATGTATAAAGATTTTGATAGGCTATTGCAAAGACAAGATAAAATATTTTTACACGATAGTCTGAAAAAAAGAAAGAAAAGCAGCTACACAGAAGCAGAAACACATTGGAAAGCAAAACTAAAGATAATACTCACAAGAATGCTCAGGTCTCAAACCCATTTCTCTATGATCATGAGCATGGAGGAGGCTTAGAATTGAATCTAGTTACTGCCCAGTAGTGGAACTACCAAGGTGACTGGACCTTGGAGTACCACCTATCAAGGGGGGCACTGAAAAGGCTGCAAGCCCCACGTGAAAAAACATTATTTACTGATTTGGCAAATACTAAATAACAGCAACATTTCTGGCAAGCGCATCTTACTGGCAAGTAGTAGAACTACTAATTTGGAGAGTTAGAGTATGCAGCTCTCCTACAGAGTCTCCTTGTAAAGTATCCACCCTGGAATGAAAGCAGTACATTAGCACATTATAAATAAAAATGCATTTTGCTCTGCTTGGGCTCCCGGCCGAAACACACTGAGGAGGTTGGGCAGGAGAGCAGTATGGCAGCAATAAGGACAAAAAAGTGATCAGAGTACACAGACATTTCTTCAGTTTAACACAAAATCCCTATCTTATTTCACACAGGAAGCTGCTGTTAGGGATAGGTGCTTTTTGTTTGCACTTGCAGTTTCACAGTAGGGAGATAAAAAGGACCCTCCAACGCCCCTGTAAATCCAAAAGTAATCGCTGGCATTGAATTTCAATGTTGCTGAAAATGACAACAAAGGCTGTCTTCTGACTGGCAATTTGAGTAAAACATTTTTTTGGACTTCACATGGGGGATGTGACAGTATATTACTTTTGCTCTTAGTCATGTTATTTCTTTGAATGGTTAGTACAACCACTATGACCACTTTGGTCATGTTGGTCGGTGTCTGTATTGAGAGATTCTTTTGTACTGGGGATTAGTTGCGCTCCTGGCACATGTGACTTTGGCAGCCTCTGTTCCAGACTGCTTATATCAATTCTGTGCAAATATGAGGTCTGTTGTCAGTGTTCATAGTGCACTGGTATAAGATGTAATGATCTTTTCCTTTGCAGACAGCGCAAATTATTATTTAAATCCCCTCCCTCCCCACTCCCAGCTGAGAAGCATATGATTGGACCATGGAGGGGGAGACAATAAAATAAGATTGGGCATGGAAAGCAGTGCTAATGTAGGAACTCTGGTGAGCTACTTCATGGAGTTTCGAGGTAACTGGTTCAACCACTTATGGCAACAGCTCTTGAGAGATATCTTTTGCAGGGAGCTAGATCATGAGTGATATCAAAAAGACTGGGTACAGTAGGAATGCTACGGGGCTATCTCACTGATTTCTGAGGTAACCCAAATAGTTTTGCTTATTTCCAGACTAGTTCAGCAAGTTGTGGAAATAGATTGATGTGCTTATTGAGTTTTGCAGGACTCCAGTGAGATGTGCAACAGAGTTCCTTGGTATACAAGGTAGCTTTTCAGTGTCAGACATGGCACCTTCCTACTAGTCACATATTCATGGCAAATCTGCTGTAATGCCATTTATGTGCCCCTGGAGGAAGATGCAAGACACCCACTCAGTTTATTTTATTTTATAGAACAGCTGAAGCAGGAAGAATTGGGTTGAACAATTGGGCTGCTTTATAGTTCATGGGTTTTTTTTATTTATTTTTTTTAGTCTGTTATGCAGTCTCTTATACCAATCAAGGAGATTTACACAACATTTAATAATCTACAATTGGAACAAAGTATATCACTATGATATCTGTCGTTTAACTAATAGGACACAATGATTTTTTGCAATTTAGTTCTGAGATAAGTGAACACAGAGTGGGTTTTGATATTTTTTTCTTATCGCATGGTGTATTTACTGCAACAAAGTCTTCAATCCATTTTTGTAATTAATGTATTGGTTTCCTCCATTTCTCTCTTTTATTTGGGAATAGTGCTTTAAAATAGAGTCAGGGTGGGGGGCATGGCTAGACGAGCACCAGAGCGGACCAAACCTCTGGAACTCCAAGACAGAGAGCTAAATATAGCTGTATACCTGAAATATAGGAGCCCCACAGGCGACATCCCTACTCACCCTCCAACAGAGACTACCATGGGGTGCAAAAATAGGAAAAACCAGCCACCAGCGACCCCGAGAAAGCCGGACATAAGGCTCTCCTTTGAGAGACCTGCAGCCGTGACCGCGGCTCCCGCCAAAATGGCGCCAGTGGCCCAGGCTGAAGAGGAGGCCTCAGAAGCATCCCAGGAGGAGGGAGACATATCCACCTCACCTGAACCGGGAGAAGACTACCCAGAAACGGACTCCGACCCAGTGACTAAAGGAGACATTAAAAACCTCCTGCAAGACATAAGGCAAGTCTGGAAATCAGACTTGAAAGAGGCCCAAGCAGACATAGGAGACCTCCACAAGAGGATCTCCAAAATAGAAAATGAAGAGCAGTCTCGGGAACACCAGATGCAGGACACCCATGACCAAATAGAGAACCTGGCCACAAAGGTGCAGAAACTCACCCGGTCGGTGACCGCACTGGAATCCCGCCACAGGGGCAAGAATGTCCGCATGCGGGGAATCCCGGAAACAGTGAGTGAAGAAGCCCTGCTACCCTTCACCCAGAGACTGGTGGCCTCGATGGGTCTAAAAAGTAAAGATACCAAGGGGATGGTGGTCTTGGCGTTCAGAGTACGGAACGCGGCAGCGGCACCTCAAGGGCAGCGAGAGACACAATAGTCATCACCAGAGATATTGCGGTGAGAACCTCTATCCTCAACAAATCCAGAGAGATCAAGACGTTCCGGCTCGAGGGCTGCTATGTGACGATCTATGGGGACATTCCCTTTGAGGCGCTAGTGGTGAGGAGACAACTGGCACCAGTAGCCAAGAAACTGAGAGAGGCAGAGATCCGGTACCGCTGGGGAGAAGATGGAATGCTGAACATCCAAAGGTGAAACGAGACATCGGCTTGGGAAGACCCCACGGCATTCTGCAAGACCATAAACTTACCGGGCAAAGAACCAAAAAATACTGGGGCCTGATTCTGAGCGTGCCAATAAAGGTCGACGGAGAGCCTGCGGGCAGAGCAGTCCTATAACAAGTACTGATACACTACTTGCCTAACCCCATGCCAGGCTACATGCCTTATAGACTGCACAAGACTCAAATAGCCAGCGAGAGAGACAGCACCACACTAGGACGAACTGGAAGGCAATCCATGACACTCAGTCCCTCAGACATATTACAAGACACACTACAAGATGCAGAACCACATAGCCCTGATGCCCATCACCGACAACACAGACACAATGGCACCCACAGAGAATAAACTGCACGAGACTACACAAAATAGACAACACATAATAACTCACGGGAGACAAGAACACACACCAGACTATAACAAGACCCAATTGAAGGTAACCTGTGTGACGTGTATGTAAGAGCAGCAGAACTCTAAAATATATGACATATAGAAGAGGCAAAAGAAGAATGCTTGCCTCCATGACATACTCTGTATCAGTTGTATTCTTTGATGCAAAATACTCAATAAAATACAAATTATAAATAAAAAAATAGAGTCAGGGTTATATCCCTATTGGAGGGACTCTAATAACACAACCTGTTGTACATTTTAGATAGTAATTTTTGTTGTAGGCACTAGAGGCACTTTCTGAGGAACAACAAAATAAAACTTGGTCATGTGACGTTGCCGCCCATGGGAAATCACTGAATTTAGAGCTTTCCTAGGACAAGCATTTGGATGTGCACACACTCTACACTCATGCACATCGGTCTCCAGTGCTCCTCTATGAGTTGCATTGTATTAGACCAGGCTTCCTCAAACTCCGGCCCTCCAGATTTTGCTGAACTGCAACTCCCATGATTCTATGAATGAAATAGATAGGCTGAAAATCATGGGAGTTGTAGTTCAGCAACATCTGGAGGGCCAGAGTTTGGGGAAGCCTGTATTAGACCATCTGCGAGAGACAGGTAACGCTGTGGGAGTTTTTGTTACTGAAAATTAAGTGGGGGCAGTGCTAAAACAAATCCCTATGTAGTAAATCATACCAGATGTTGTAAAACTACAACTCCCATGATGCTTTGCATGCAATTAGCATGCCTTTAGAATGACAAAGCATCATGGAAGCTGTAGTTTTAAAACACCTGGGGCCCTGCCTTTAGGACATGCCTGCTGTTAGGAATATAGCTTTGTATTCCTTAAATTAAGTCATCGTGCTCTCAGAAGAAATAAAATGAGTGGTCAAAATTATGTTTGTTTATTTTCTTTAAATGTTATATTTTATTTTTTGTAACACACCCTCCGCACAGGATATTTAGATTTTCTGTCCCATGGCTTCCTTATAATTTAAACATTTCGCAGTTTTAGCCAGCTGTATTGTGTCTTCGTTGGTATGATTAAATGGCAATCCACATGATAACTTTCTTATCAGCAGTTTCTTCCTTCCCGTGGCAGAGCTTAATCTCGAGGCAGGTCAGATAGCAGTAAGGCAACAATGAATAATACTTCTCCAGCAGAAACCAATGACAGAGTGATGATAAAAAGCATTGTTGTTGCATATAAAGCAAAAGAGCAGAAATTTCTAGTACATGCATCAAACTGTGCGATATTCATACTTTTACAACATGACAGGAGGCTACATATTTGCATTCACTTTCTTTACTAACTCCATAGCAGCAAAGAAAAAAAGACCAAGAAATAAAGAACCAATTAGAATCAGTCAGAGGGTATATAATGGAACACATATGCGGTGTACTTCCTCTTTCTTTGCTGCTCCATCACAATTTAACTACCTACATGTTACTTGTTTAGCTAACTGTGGTTTTGTGTCTATTTTCCATCTATATTTGGGGGGTTTCTCTCCCTACTTTGTTATATATATATATATATATATATATATATATATATATATCTTCCTTGTTTCTTTGCTGTGCCCTTTCATTCAACATTTTTTTCTCAGTTTCCCTTTGGGATGTTGGGGTCCGTCCTCTCCTGCCCCTCCCCTTCCATCTGCTCCCTGGGATCTCTTTTACCTATTGTTAGACATGGGGGGTTGTTCGTTGGGGTATTTTGAGGGGGGGTTCAGGACTTTTCATCATCCCGAGGGCACAGTCCTTTCTGTAGGTTTTTCTACCGCCCTTGTTTTTTCCGTTTGCGGCGCAAAAGGATCCTTTGGCTTGCCGCTTGCTCCTCTGGATCCGACTAAGACGCCCTAAATATACCCAGCTGCATCAACTCTCGCTGCATCAACTCACGGCGAAGTTTACCATCCTTCTTTGCTTGGTTTCCTTTCTGAGAGTTTCAGATGTGCGTGCTACTCATCTCCTATGTTCGTCCTCATGGCCCAGTCTCTGCCACTACCTTAGCCAAGTGGGTTTGCTGGCTCCTATCGTTAGCCGGGATCGACCTGGGTTTCGGGGCACACTCTGTGCGCAGGGCAGCAGCCTCCTCAGCGGGCACCTCTTTGGCTGACATTCTTCGAGCTGCAGACTGGACACAAGAGTCTACTTTTCGTGCTTTCTACTTCTGACCGCCATATAACGCAGCCATTTCTCTTCTCTCTCAGTGTTGAAATATGAAGCCTCCTGTCATGTTGTAAAATTGAAGATTATGCTAGCTTTAGTGTACCTGTGATCTTAATTTTAATAATGACAGCAGGCGAATATTTCCCTTCTTCTCAGTTTTCCCACCCTTTGTTCTATGTTTTCAATTGTATTCTTACTCTCTGTAACGGGACATCACTCTTCCCGGTTCACCCAACCACTTAACTCCCGTTAGTGCCCTTCCTTCCGCCAATCAGGAACTCTTGCCTGATTAGGGGACTTAGCTCAATGCGCTCCCAGGCCGAGACGACACTCAGCCCTGGAAGCTCTTAGTCCTTACAAAGACTTTTCCCTGTTGCATCCCCTGCAAGATGGAACAGCAGACATAGGGGTTAAATCTTCCTTCCCTCCAATAACAGGACGACACACAGTTTTAGAGGTTTAAGCACTGGGCTCTGCCAGGCTGACTTCTGACAATCTTTATTGAACACAGGCTTGTTTATGCAAAGACCCCTACAGGGGGTCTTTATTCTACACTATACTTCCCTTAGTCCATGGCAGGAGGGGGCTGGTTTACACAGAGCCATGTCCCTCCCTGGGAGATACCAAACAGTACACAGGGACACACATTACACCATATTACATTCAGGGGCTCGGCGCCCCTGGAAGGGAAGAGGTTACAGGGTTGAAACCAACATTGCTAGATAGCCCCGGGTCCCATCTGGAATCCCTGCAAAAAGCAGGGTGATCAGATATACAGAGCCCAGGATATCAGCATCGAACGTCTGGGGCTCGAGACTCTGTACATCCCCGAAATTCGTTCCATGTCGTTGCTTGGTTTAGTCTGGCGAATTCAAACTTCGCACCTAAACCATGCAACAACCAATCAGCTGAATGGGCGCAAACCAAATCGTGCCAATCAGCATTCAGGGGAGGAAGGAGTGTCACCGCCCAATCCAAAGAAAGGGCACGAAACTCGGCTGCACCAATCGGTGCTCGGGGAGGAGAGGGGTTTGACCGCTCAATCAGGGGAAAGGGCGTGAAAACAGATTGCACCAATCTGCCAAAAGGCACAAAACCAATTCATGCCAATCAATGCACAGGGGCAAGAGGGGTTTCACCGCCCAATCAGAAGAAAGGGCGCAAAGCCCAGTTTGAACAAGCGCTCTGTCTCCGTTTGGTCGGCACGGACTTCCATGCGGCCAGCTGGAAGTCTGCCGCTGTGAGACCGACTCACAGCTCCAGAGACTCCCTGCTGGTGCACGTCCCTCTCTCTGGTGGATATCCCCACACAAGCATCCACCGGAGAGAGCGCTTCCCTGGGCAGCCACGAGCCTTGCCTCATAGCTCCCAGGTAGGGGAAAGGCACTAGTGACTATAACTCCATTGGGGAGTGGGTAGGACGGTCCCCGACATGGGGACCAAAGATAGGGTGCGCAGGCCGGTTCAGGATAGGAATGCTGCCCCCTGGTGGCGTTCAGCTATACGAACCCGTGGCCATCCAGGGGAAGCACGCGCCGCTTGTTCCCTTGTAGTCTGCGTTTTCACACCTCGTTAGCGAGGTGTGAACATTCTAAATGTAGTATCGGGTTGTTCCGTCGCATGGGGCCTTGTACAGTGCAAGGGTAAACACATATTCAACAAGGGAAAATCATCACAATATACATTGGGGACACAAAATATAAAACCAAACATCTGAATACTGAGTGGGCATGGCACTCAGTCGTGGTGTCCTGCCACACTCTCTATCTTCTGTGTGTCCCTCATACTCTGGGACTGATTTATCAGTCTCCAATGTTTGGCTAAATCATTATATGGTGGAATTCTGATTTATTGCCGTATATAGTTAGTTACATTAGGTGTTTTTTTTTTCTTCTGGATTATCGCTTATTGTACTTTTACATGCCTAGCATAGTTCAGCCAGGTTACATGCTTCAGAAGTTGCCTACTGTTGGACTAACAACCTATCACACTCTCTCTCTTTTCAGTTTGAATTGTTTCTGGAGCTCAAGCTTGGAAAAAAGTTTAAGTTCTCATTATGGATTATGGGAAGAATTTGTTTGCCTTCTAGGTTTCAAGCCTGATGTTGGACTGTTGTTCTATGTTTCCTGCTTCCTATAGACTTGTGAGGTCGCAGTTGTAAAGAGGAAGTGCTCTGCATATGTGTTCCATTATGTACCCTCTGACCAATTCTGATTGGTTCTCATTTCTTGGTCTTTTTTTCTTTGCTGCTATGGAGTTAGTAAAGAACGTTAATGCAAATATTTACCTCCTGTCATTATTAAAATTAAGATTATAGGTACACTAAAGCGAGCATTATCTTCAATTATGTCCCTTAATCCAAAGATAGCCAGAAGGCAGAACTCCGCTCTTGTTAAACTATAATATTGGTAAAGCTTTGGGAAATTAAACACTGGCAAAGCATGATGAGAGCTGTAGTTCAATAGCTAAATGTTTATCTTTTGGCCAAAACTGCCTTAATTTATACTCAAAACAATACTCTTTAAATGCATTCCTGATGCCTTAAGTGTTTCGCGTTTTTGTTGTTGTTTTTTTTTAGCATTCACTGAAAATTGAACTGCATTTACCAATAGTATCTATCAATATTTTTAGAACTCTAGCTGAGATGCAATAGTTCTTTTGAGAGGTACAAATGGTTAATGTGTGTCCTCCGCATACAAGGACCTCAGATGTAAACAACTCTGGTATAAATAGCAAATGTGCTGTTGTCATGTCAAAAGACAAATCTTGTCCCTTGGTGTGTCG